CGAGCCACCCGCTGCGAGGCGGGCCGTCGACTCGCTTTCGCGAAATCCTCCTTTTCTACCCGCCACCGGTGGAAATTTCAAGGGAAATTGCGGAGTTCCAAGAGGACGCGAAGAGAATCCAAGATGGCGGCCGTTGCGACGCCCGGGAAGCGCCTCGACACCCTTTCGCTCCAAGGCGACAAACTGACCAGGAGGGAGGCCTAGCTGACCGGATAATACGGGTCATTCTTCCGTAATTAATAATTCATCGACAATTAGGGCTCCGCAGGTGGTCGGAATAAAATGCACCGCGGCATATGTCGGCCCGGTGAATCATAGAGGAATTAACATAACTAGCGAGCACGAGACCTATTAGCATATTCGTGTCGATAGGCCCGTAAAGGGCCCACCTCACATGTCGCCTTCGGGAAAGGAGGAAACGTCCTATTCCGGGAGTCCCTCGACGCAGCTCGCTTCCTTAATTATCTTATTAATATTAACTCCATTCCTTAACCTGGCGTGAAACTATCCCCGTAAACGTCGCATCGACGAAAGGGTACCCGGTCACCTGGTTCCCTTTGCGCAATTCTTTTGTCACGGAACCCTCGAGGTGGTCTCTTATTTATATTTTTCTTTTACTCTTTTTTTACCCGCGAGGTGACGTCTTTGGTCCTGGACACCGATCGATCCGGGAAGGATTGAATTAGCAAATTTTGAGTATCGGCACGTTAGCGCGTCCGGTGGTCCATTTGAGTCCCTTGGGGCATATCGGTCGGTACAAGCGGCTGAATAGGCGCAGTTCAATCACTCTGGCCCGCTTCGATTCTACCGGACAGGAGAACTCCACTATTGCGTCCCCCGACCTCGCTTGCATTTCGGCTGGAAGCGGACGCGGTGTCCATCGGCCAGTGCATGCGTAATTAATGAAACCAATAAAGCCGCCCGTACTCGCTCAAATTCGTTAAATTTAATTGGACGGGAGTAATCCTCCGGGCGTTCCAGCCGTCGAGAAGAACCCGCGAGGAAGACCCCAGGTGCGACCTCCTTGGTTTTCCGGAACATCCTCTCCACCCTTATCTTCTATCGCCAGTACGAAAACCACGCACGTATTAACGAGAACTGCCGGACGTAATTTACCGAAAATTTCGAGAGTACATAATGGGTACATTTTGTAGGTACGTTCCGCGTGGAACCTCGCTAAATCGTATTGACATAAATAATAATTTCCCACCCTGGGTACCGCTTTGAGTGGACGAGTCCGACAGGCGATAAGCCGATAGGGCAGGACGTGAAACGCGTAATGGTAAAATCCGTAGATTACGATTCTCGTTACCGCGGCCGTCATTTCGGTGGCCGAGCCCGAAGTCGAGCGGCCTCGGAATCGCGTGTAATTCGGCTGTCATTGAAATATCGCATTTCCAACTAAATCTGGCCGAATCTAATTTTACGAGACCCGGGTGCATTAGCGGATTAATGCACTCTATTCCTGGTGGACCGAGTGATGAGGTATATTTGCATGGCATTATACTTGCAGCCCTACGCCGCCCCTTCAATCCCACATCTAATTATACGCGTAGCGCCACTATCGGCCCTCTTGCACAGGTGATAATTATATTACTATCCTATCAACGTTATTGCCATTCCTGGACCCGAGTGCCGCTCGTGCCGTTTGAAGTGCTTAGGCCCGTAACGTATCGATCCTTCGAAAGATCGATCGAGCCACCCTTAGGACAGGGAGATGCCGGATGCTGCGCGGGTGCCACGGATGAGACAATCATGGTCTCGTCGAATCCTTATTCGTTCCAAAATCATCGGCCACGTGACCAGAAAATATTGCCTCCTATGATATTAAATAAAATATAAATATTTAACAGTGATAAGTCCCCTGCATAAATTTACGTGATTTTTATTAAACTCGATTGCCTCTCCTTTGCCCGGACATTTTTCTCGAGTTTCAATGGACTAGTTGCGTAATCCTAATTGCAGGTACATATGGGTACGTATGGACCGGAAAATCGCCGAGTGAAAACGGATAAAAATGGCACCTCGAAGTACAACAATGGGAAATGTCACGATCGCGTCCTTGCAAATACGCATACGAGTCCGTCGCCCGTTCTTCGCAACCCCTCGTATGCTTCGCACGCAATATGCAAATGCTCAGATAAGTGCATCAAGCCTGATCACACGCCCCTCTAAATCACACAGTGCGGGCATTTTCTAATGAGACTCTTTTATAATTAAAGGATAAGGAACGAGCGGCAGGCATCTCGATGCTGCCGCGCATTATCACTATAATTCGATAGAAGTCACACGACGTAAGTATAATGGAACCGACACGCGCGCTCGCCCGTAAGCGGATGCGCCACCTCTGTCATTACTTCGTTATTAGCGCCGGGTAATAATATGCAAACCGTGTAATTCTCCCAGCGAATGTCAAACCTGTCATCGGGTTAAAACGTCGCGGATCGCACTTTTACAGAATGCTTTTTGCGGGGAAATGCCGGAGCCGGTTTCGCTGGTCCCATTATCGGCTCGCATCAGGCCTGATACCTTCCGGCGTAAATCTTTCCGATCGCACGCGAGAACAGATATGTTATATCCGGATTAATTAATCGAACAAGTTCCCCGCGCTAATGGGCCGAGCGCCAAACACTGTTTCTAACGTAATCGAATTCACACCGAGCCTCGGGTGAGTTACTCCCATGATGGTGCATGCATCAGCCTAGCTTCGGTGCTCGAATCGCAGCATCTGACGATTTCTGCGGTCCATTAGAAATTAGCAACCAGAATATATATCATACATGCATATATTAAGCCCCCACCCTGAGAAAAAAAAAACGTCGCCTCAAAGGAATCAACAACAATAAAATCTTGCGATCGGATACACCCAAAGAAATGCTCGAATAAGCTAAATTCGTTCACATCCGCAACATCAATTTATCGCCTTGAGAAAATAATTATTTCTTGCGATTAGATATTTTTAACGACGGTATATGTTTCTTTCGATCAACTAATACGCTTGTTTTCTGTTCAGGGCAATTCGGGAATTTTTTTGCAGCATTATTTCCTCAATTATCGCTCGTTTGAAACGCACATCACGTATCGATATGGCCTTAATCGCAAGCAGCAATTACAGGGAGAGGTTCGCCGAGGATATTGAAAAAGTTGTCAAGTTTTTTAATTCCTGGGGATGAAGTGCAGTCCGGGGACAAAACGCGCCGCTCTGGCGAAGATAATGCCGGCAGATTGGCGACCGGAAAACAATGCTCTCGACGCATGGCGCGTTATACCGTTCGGCGCATTGAATAAAAGGGGGAGGGCTAAAAAGTGAATCGACTCGTCGAAATCTCGTTCCGGCCGATGATGGACTCGACGCTGGAAACTTGGAATGGCCGTGGGGTCGTCCTGCGGCGCATTATCTAGGGTCATGGTTGTCGAACGGGCACGCAGCGCGCTTTTAAAACCCTCTGAAAAATTGATCCACGTCGTTAAATAAATTTCACGAGCGCGCTAATGACTGCAGGCATAACGCCGTTATGCCGCACATAACTCGGCGGGATCAGGTTTCGCCTGCTCTAACGAGTGGTATCAAGTTTTGAGTCACACCTGTGGATCCCTCTGCATCCTCAAGGTGCAACCTCTGCGTGCAACATCTTTTGTATTTCAATGCCCGAGGTTGCCTTAACGTGACGCTCCTCGGAATCGCAACTATAAACTCTGGCTGATAAGGCGACCGATTTACTATATTTAGGAGTCCTTCGTTGGAGCGGAGTTAGTCTTCTCCTCGATCTTGATCAATGCATTACGCACGTTACGAGGACGTGCTCCTCGGTTATGTACTCACTGTGAAGTGCATGGAAAATACACATACGTACTATTAATAAATAATACTGAAACGGAGTATTGTTAGTGTAATATTTCTGGAATATAAAAATGATTTTAAAAGGGAAAAAAAAATCTTCCGGTACCGGGAATCGAACCCGAGCCTCCTGGGTGAGAGCCAGGTATCCTAGCCACTAGACTATACCGGAGAAGGATGAAGGGGTTTTCACTTTTCCAGGTCTTAACCTAAAATAAAATATTAAAAATATTATAATCTCACACTTATTTATCAGTCTTTTTAATACTTGAAATACATTTTAAGAATATGCATTTCTATAGTCAAAGAATAATATCGATCTACGTACGTACAAGATAATTTCTCATTTTGGAGTGGCAGCAACGGATGAGAAAAGAAGTATATTGCAAATTTTTAATTAAAAGTTGTCACACCCCCATATTGATATCAGCCGAAAGATTTGTTATCACGTGACGTCGATATGGATCGAATTGATAAAGTGTGACTCAGGGTAGCTTATCACTTAATGGTCCGTCAATCGATATTAGTTGTAAGTTGCTTAATATCCTTGAAGCAAGTCTGGTCTTGCACGTCCATTCTACGATAACAAACGGGTAAGAAATAATTAGTCCGAATTTTTCATACCTCATAAGAAACGGATAGAAATAATTTTCATCTCACACGCACATCGCGGGGCATCTAGCAGTGTCTTTCCGAATTACACAGCAAAAGCGCTGCCGTGTCGGTAAAAGAGGAACCTTGAACAGCTTCTAATGCATTTGTGCGCCTTACTTTGCTTTTAATGTCCAATTTGCTGGCTTAACATAATCCGATCCATTTTCGGGTCGGACTTTCGAAAAAAAAAAATGTTACACGGTTGAAAATGATCGTAATATTGCACCTATTTCGTGTCAATCCTTCTCTTTTCTATGCCTGAAGGTCGATTAAAAATAATAGTTCATTAACCTCACACGTAAATCCCGATTTCTTTGTGTACAAGTAAAGAAAAAAAACCTTTCTACCATTCCTTTTCGCATTATCGCGGAAAGGACGTCAGTCAAGACGACGCTACTGACGCGGTGTTGCCGCGCACGCCTGTACTGACCAATCAGGTGCCACGGGCGCGACTTGGCAACGTCGGGTACGGGAGAGCCGAGGCTGCTGTACTCGCGCCAGTCGGTTTACGCGGACTACCCGAGGTTGCATGGACGATATTAGGTGATTATTCATTACTTTAAACAAAGACCCCGACACGTTCGCGCTGTCTCAATGTCCAGTGAGTGCAGAGCCTCTTATCGAGGAGATATCGATCGCCGGAAACGTCGTTAATTTTAAGATTATGCGAATATCTGTGAGCTGCGGTAAATAACGGTTCTGTACACCTCGACCGAGAGTTTCAAGTTTTGGAGAAGTTATTTTCCCACGTTCGTACATGGCTGAAGAATACGTGTGACTAATGTTTAGGCAATTGTAATTGTAACGCCTAGTTCGATTACGCTTGCTCGGTGTACTCCATTTTTATTTTTGAATTTCAAGTTTTAAACACCACACGGGAAATCGGAATGACGTTTGGAGCATCAGAAAAAAATATCTGTGATACAGAGTATATTATTAAAAAAGGGATCAATTTTATTTACACCGTGTCCGTATTTTCAGTCTTATCTGAAAAATGGAACCTTGTTTTAATAGTCATTTGAGAAATTTAATCCGTCTTTGTATTATTTTTATAGACAAATTGTTTGGGTCGGTAAATAAATCATTACCGAATGTATAAAACAGTGAAATGGAGAAGATCCATCAAGATATTCTTAAGAAGCTACGAAAGGATATTATTGACGACCTCGATGTACACAATGGTATTTTACATCCTTTGACAACGGAGTATATCCTAAAGGAGAGAGATGTTAAACAAATTGAGAATGGACTAACTAAACAGGAACGGGCTCAAATTTTATTAGACATATTACCTGGGTAATTTGCAAATATTTTTGAATTGTATTTATTAATTGTTTCGGAACAATAAAAATTAACTAACGATTTAGCGTAAAATATTCTAAATCACTTTTTTTTTTTACAGTCGTGGGCCTTGTGCATTTGATACTTTCCGAGAAGCTTTAAGGCATCATTATGAGTGGTTAAGTGATAGTATGGATAAACAGTTGGCATCGCATGGAGATGCTCCCGACCATATTCGGTCCCTGTCGAGGTCCCCTAATCTACCGCCAGTTTCACCATTGACTGTTACTAGAGAAGAAAAGGTAAATTTATTTTTATATTAACAAACAAAAATGTATGGTATTTATAGATTTTTTTTAAATGCATTTAGCATTGACGTGTTATGCTCATTGTACATCGATTCGTAATGTACCTTTTGCTTTGACATGCATCTGAATGGAACATATGTACATTGTAAGTTGATTTATGTAATGGTACTTACATTTTATTAAGATATTCTTATATTACTATTAATATAAAATTACATAGTACTTTGAAATTTAGACTAAACAGCTTCAACGAGCATTGGAGGAATTACAACCTGGAAGATACGTAGCATTACATGGAATGAAAGGATTTGGAAAATCATCTCTAACTGCAAGTACTTTAAAGGATGGACAATTAGTAAAAAATTTGTTCTCCGTAAGTGTTCCTTGCATTTTGTTTTCTAACCGTTAATATTTACGGTCAGTGAAATTAAAATATTTTTTTCGCAGAATGAAATTCATTGGATTAAATTTGGGTATAATCGATCCGCTGAAGAAGAAATCATAACGCAATTGAGTGCATTATACTACCAGGTTAAAGAATCAGAAGTAATAACTAAGTGCAATGAAATAAGCCTTATGAAAGATACAGTTAAAAGCTATCTCAAGCACCATTTTAGAAAGTCCAATCATCGCAAAGCATTATTAGTCTTGGATGACGTCTACGATAAAGAATTTATTGATGCTTTTGACTTTGATTGTAAGACTTTAGTCATTACCAGCGACATTGATGCCTTAGAAGGCAAACAATACACTGTGATAGAGGTAAATTAATACATTTATTTATGCTACTTTTTCACGTACATAGTAATATAGTTATACATAATGCTTTTTCAGATGAATGATGGGTTTACGGAAGCTGAAAGTTTAAACTTGTTTGCTAAAGTACTTGATATCGGAGCTCACGAGCTTCCTCATGAAGCAAAATTAATTCATGAGGAGTGCAAAGGTATGCCGTTGCTCATTGCAATGTTCTCTGCACAATTTGAAAAATTCAAGCATGACATGAGAATTCGATCTGATCGGTGGAAATATTATTTGAAATGCCTTCGCAAAAAAGATCCTACCAATAAGTAAGTTTTTATGTTTGATTCACCTACTTTTCTAATTTTAGAAAGAGATATATGATAATGTTTTAACTTTGTTCTTTTCACATCAGAGTGATGAGACAGTTTCTTGAAAAGCAAAAAGCTATTTTTGACATATGTATCGATAGACTGCCCAGTCCACTGAAAGAACGGTATGAGATGTTAGCGATTTTTAATGAAGACGTTAATATAATGCCTCAGGTAATATATTGCTACTGTTAATTTTTATATCACTCGCTTTCATATCAATCATTACATTTTTGGGTTTTAGACCTTAGAAATTCTCTGGGAGGAAGAAGCGTTTCAAGTCGAAGAAATGATGTTAGACTTTTGTCACAAATCTCTCGCTGCAAAACAGTGGAATGATGATTTAAAAAGTTACATATACGGAGTTCACGATCTTCTTTTATGCTACTTACGAGACAAGTTGCAGGCTGATAAATTGAAACAAATGCATGTATCTTTCATTGAAAAATATCGAAAGTACTGTAATAACGATTTTTCAAAATTACCTCGAGATAACTATAGCCACTCGTACATTGGTAACCACTTAGAACAAGCTGAGTTGTACGAGGAATTTCCAAAATTATATTTGGATTTTGATTTTCTACAAGCCAAAATATATCATGCTGGCTTAAGCGATCTGCTGAATGACTTACAGAAATATCGAAAATACATAACAAACAATTTTAACAGCGAATTAGAAGCAAAAGTTGCCGATATAGAACTTTTTTTACAAGAACATGCGTATAATCTCGTGAATCAAAAACGAAAAGAATGCCTAGATTTAATACAAGTAGCCTTGAGCCATTCTTATCAACATTACGTTAAACAGAAAGCTAAAGAACTCGTTATTGCACGCCCAACACTTCTCTATCTTACTCACGATAAACAGATCACATACGTGAGCATGCCATTAGGTGAAGAAGTAAGCACCGAAATCAGCATCGCATGTTTTACCGACAACCCAAATGAAATTCTAATTGGGAACAGGAGCGGTGAAACGATACTTTGGAATTGCTCAAATAGAAAGGAGATAGTGTTCCATGGGCACCATAAAAAATACCCGATTAAAAAAATCATCGTCTCTGAGAAAGGAAACTATTTTGCATCCTTGAGTGAAGATGGTACCGCAAAATTATTCGATTTGATGAAGAAGGAAGATCCATACAATTTTAATATGAAAATTGAACAAGTGCCAAGTCCTAGGCAAAAGCAAACGTTTTGGAATAATATCTTTGTGAACGAACCCTTGCAAGACAATAGTTTGGTGACTTTTGTTATCGAGCGACAGAAAATAATAGATATATCATTTGGTTTCAAGGACCAATGTATCGCAGCTTGTACTAAAAATGGAACAATTCAGGTAAGATTGAAAAACAGAGTACAACATTTTGTTTCCCGAATATTTTAATTATACGTTATTCTTAAATATTTTCAGATCTGGGATTTGGCTGGTAACACACTCTGGACCAGCGAAGGTTCCCAAAAGTAAAATATCTTTACATCTATTTATATTCCATGACACTAAAGAAAATATACAAAATAACGTTTTCTATATTTTCCAGCTACTCTCTGAGAAGCATCACTTTTACTACCTCGAACACGTTTCTTCACTTGATGGACGAAGAGAAGGGAGTTTTGATATCGTACAAAGAGTGCAATAAACAATACACATACTGCGCGCAATACAATCCAAAATTACAAGATCAGAAGGTCATATTTTTCCAATGTATTCCACGAACTGTTAATTCATTGATCATTGTCACGAAAGTGAAGGCAATATATGTTAAATGGTTCGGCGGACAAAATGAACAAATTCATAGCTATAACAAGCAAATAAGAGCTTTTGTTGAGAATGAGAATATAGAGTATCTCTGTGCGGCATTAACGTATGATGGGCAATATATCGTTGTTGCTGACTCGGGAGGTTTTGTTAATGTCTGGAATATTGATGTTGGAGATCAGCCAATAGCAGTATACAAAGGTCGTGTGACTTCTTTAGATACTTATTGGTTGAACGAAGAAGAAGAATGTCATTTGGTAAGCAGTACTTCTATATTATTGCTCAGTTACATACAATTTTATTATTACTTTACATCGATAGATTCAATATTTCTTCCGACATATTTTTACAGATTTGTGGCAGTGAAAATAAGTTGATACACAGGTGGAAGTTCGAAGCCCGTAAGCCACTTAAGCCGCATAGGTAATATTATTTACCATAGTATTCAATAAAATTATAAATAATGTTTAAAGATATTGTTATGCTCTTTTTTTCACAGATTATCCCTTATGTTCGATGCAATAATGAGTCAACTCGGAGATAGCGATGTCATCGCTAAAGAAACATCTAACAATACGGTTATAGTATCTCAGAGTAATGAGATAATCGGTGAATCCGGACCTGCTGACGGGAAGTTAACAGCTTTATTCCTATGGCCTAATAAAAAGAAAATCGTCTACGCTTCGGAAAAAGGAACAATTGCTATGTACGATTTGGAAAAGAAGGAAACTGTTAATATTCTGTCATTAAAGCGGCAGACCAGTTTCATATGGTTGATTAATATTGATAAAAATGAAATCTTAATATGTAACGATGGAGATAACCACTTGAAGGTAAGTTCGTCGTTATAAATAATTTTATTTGTAGTTAATCATAAATTGGCATAAATTATATTTAGCTATTTACTTAATGGTACGATGGAATTTACAGATATGGGAAAATGCGGAGACAATTTATTTGCTGGAAAATACAGGGAATGTAATCGCGACTTATGCACTGAATCAGAACTTCGTTGTAACGGTCGCTCAAACAGGACTGATTAAACTTTGGAATGTGCGACCGAAAATGTGGCTGTTAATGAGTGCAGTGTCAAATCTCTCCGGACCTGTTACCGTGTGCTCCACGTGTCTGGGTTCTTCGAAAACTTTGTTGGCCGTACTGCATGACAGTTACAAACTGACAATATACAACATCTTAGCGAACAACAGTTTCCTTGCAAGTGTAACGATTAAGGAAGAGATGAAATATCAGTTCGAGCACAAAGTAATCACGTGTGAATTCTCGCATGATGAAAGGTACTTAGCTGTTGGTTCGGAAAATGGTGATATTTTGGTAAGAAAACTTAAGTTCTTTTTATTCCTACGATAACAGTACTATTACTAATCGAGATCTTCGTCTACAGATTATCAATGTAGAAATGCGCGAAGAGATGTACAAATTCTTGCTTCACTCCAGTGCTGTTACTCAATTACTTTGGGCGCCAAGTATAATTGATCTACCTATTCTGCTATCAGTTTCCTGTGATGATCTGGCATGGTGGAATATCAGTCTACTTGACGTCAACTCAAGAACTAAAAAACGAAGTCGTATGGGAATCAGTCATAGTATCAGCAGCCCAGAGATTAATGTAAGTTCTTTGCCGAGTTCATTACCTTGTAGCAAGAGTACAGATTTTGGTCCATCGACTACGCAACAAGCAGAAGCTTCATCTATAAATGGTGCTTCCTCAATGAAAGGTGCTTCCTCCTCGAATAAAGGTAACCACCTTCTTTTCTGGAAGGTTAAAAAATCAAGAGACCCAAAAAAGCCAGCTCTGTTAGGGGTTGTTCAATTACCCGGAAGTTACTCCCCGAAAATTTGCGCGTCCGATGATTTCAGTAAATTTCTTGTCATTGACGTCCATGGATCCATACACAGTTATAAGCTATTTGAACTTACGTAGGGATACATCTGATCTATGAAGTTGTTTTAAAAAGTAACACAAAAAACAAAAAAATATTAGGTAAAATTGGCCATTTATTGGATACTTGTGAGATAAAATATGACCCCGATGATGGCGTGAAGTATAAGAATTCTACAATTCTATTGTGATATTGCAATGGTGATTCTTAAAGGGAAAAGATACTTAGGGAATTTAAGAACATATTTTGACTGCTGGCTATGCAGGCATTGCGATTGTATTAAAAAGGAAACAAATCTATTTAATGAATTTTAAGATGAACTCTACATAGGTGAACGTGCATTAGTTACCAGTTTTGCTCAACTTTATAGAATTGAACTAACTGAATGGAGTGGTTGTGAAACACTGACACCCCACTGCCCTCTGCATTTATATCGAACAAATATTTGCATTTCTTTAAATGTCAGACAATGACATTTAATTCCTACTCCCTGTCTGAAACATTTTTTATAATCCGTTTTATAACTTAAATTATCCTCTTAGCACATAAGAACTTCGGTATAATTTTATGACTCTTAAATGACGTAAACTTATTTTATAGATAATATATAACAAAACGTGCCACCTGCACGTTTTTTTTTTTTTAGCATCGAAAATGTTGCCAAATGTTCAACTTTGTCTCTTCGAGCTCTCGATTGGAATAATTTATAGTTTTAATGATCATGTGAATTCAGTAGCAGATTAAGGAGTAACTAAAAGTACAAAAAAAAAATAGTAAAATTTTCGTCAGTAAATATATTGCTTGAGACGATCTCTCTCTCATTTGCCCGAAATCGGTATTATATTTAAATAATAAAGTATTCACTTTTGGACACTATTTTATAATAGTACGAATACCGGCACAACTTCTGTATCTTTTTATATGACGGCAAATTATTATCAGTAAATTAAATAGTGCATCAAAGCAATGAGCTTTAAAAGTACGTGCCAATTGTGCGCATTGCAATTTTCAATTAAAAATGCACAAGCAGGAAAATACACTGATAAGATGTACAGGATTTCACTCCTACGTTTTCCATGATCTCTGTCCGATTTGACTGATAAGCTAAGATTTCACTTGAACAATTTTTAGGCAGGAATGCCCAGACTTTTTTTTCCTTCAAATATGATCCATGAAACTAGCATAAAACAATACTTTAAAACAAGCATTTACCAAGTTACGTTAAGATGTGCGTGTTTTCACGCGATAAAATCATGTGCCTTGTGTATTAAGATAAATTAGTGATAACAATCAGAGGTCCTAAACCTCTGTTAGGTATGATTTTGATACCTACTTTACAAACAGTGTATATTCTATATATCCGTGCATGTATATGCATACAGATATACATGTTGGCAGGAACGATTTTAATTTATCAAATATGTACGAAACAGACTTGACTTGTAATCCAATGGTGCATTTCTTCTGCATTTAATTTTTGGTGCTCAACCTGTGTATGCCATAATGTCACCTGGTAAAACATCTGATAACGTCGAAGCGAAACCATTGCAATTTTCCATATACCATACTTTTTTAAATTCTCTTATCGTCTCAGAATTACATTCAAATTGTTGCACTGAATGACAAATTACCGAATTAAGATGTTAACTATACTTTTATGGCTCCACAGTCCTATTGAGATAGAAAACCATTAATTGTTTCCCGATACGACAATTATTAATTTATCCTCACCATATTCATACGTATGATTTAGTTGATATATATTAAGTTATTATATTATTGGTATACTCTTACGGTGAATACCTTAAATTTATGTTATTGTTAATATTAATAATGCGTTAATTATAGAAATCCATGAATTCAGTTGAATTCATCATTACGATACTTCGAATTTATATTCAGTACATACGTACCAATGGCATTTTCTTACTGGTGGCATTTTAATTAAGTATATCATTTATGTTTTCATATTTTTACATTTAAGTACACGTGATAGGATCCAGAACGAACAAGTTTTACGTGCGATTTTATAAACCGCGAAGGGAATATTTGAGATAAAAGTCTTTCAATTCCAGAATTCTATATCGGCTTTGAGATATTTTTAAACGTCATGTAGTACTTGTTCAAACATTTGAATATAAGAAAATAATATTTGTTTTACTTAGACCCAGCGACACGGCGGATTGCTATCTTAAACAGTTGCCTAATGTGATAAAGGACTCTCTTGTGCATTTATAAAATAGGATATAAATTAGAATTTACGACACATGGTTCAGAATTTTGCAACTGGTTTAACATTGAGACCCCGTTTAATAATATTAACCTAACGCAATCCACGTTAGGCAAATTGTAAATTACTAATTGTAGGATTACTCTGCTGGGTCTAAGAAAAACGTAAATAAATAATGTCGATGGACCGACGTATTCGTTTCTCTGGTGCAATCTAGTGAACAATTAATCCATCTCTGAATTGCGCCAATCGAACGGGCTTGTGTAATAAATAATGCCAGCGATGACGACGGTCTTCGCTGCAATTTTTTTTTTTTTTTTCAATGGGGGTCTCAATTATAATATTTAATCTGTATATTTAAATCAATTGGGACCTTGTGCATTTTAATTAATGTTACGCTCATGTATGTATTTGTACATGTAAAATAAAAGGTTTTGTACATACGCCGCACTTCGGGCATGTTAATCTTCCTTTCGTGTGCAATCCTCTTTACGGCAATTTAATTCTCCTCGGAATGGAAATGCGGAATATTCTTTCTACTTTTTCCACCGACAATTTTTCCAATATTTATTATTGAACAGCAACGATAGTTACTATGAACTCAATGTGTTCAGGAAGGAGATACCAATCCCGGAAACATTTCTATCGACTCATACCACACACACGTGCTCGAATTAAAAATAAACGCTTCCTCGAGTTACGCAACCTGCGTTTTGGCACCGATCGAAATATTTGATTTTGAACTCTAGGCCAATGTCAGCGTGCACGCGTTTGCGATTCAGAAACTCGTCCATTATCAACTACGATATCGATGTGTTCGGTGCGTAACTGCGCAATTAAAATGTACAAAATGTCGCTCAACTCGTTATTATCGATAACTCTTACTCCATCACTTTCGACGAGTGAATTGCCGCTAAGGAAACCAGTACCACCACTTCAGATTAATATTATCTATAACTGGCCGTTAATTTAGACATTTAGATAACTCAAGCATTCCTTACGCCGAGGGAAGAAAATTCATTGAACCAAAGGAATATTTAATTAATTCCAAAGAATAAATATTTCACCGAAATAAACTGAAATAAATGATGATCATAATTTTGAAGAAACCTTGCGTTTAATTTAGTTCAGTCAATTATTCTTTGAATTAACAAAAGGTTTTTTATGCTACTATTCAAAGAAATATTTCTTTCGTTCGATGACATCTTTTTTCTCAGGGAATGACTGGCGCGATATATAATTTAGAGCTTCCTTCTGTGCTCCGTTATACTCGTGGTCTTGTGCATCACTCGGGCAATGGCCTTACTCCTTGTGCGAGGAGCCTCGGAAAGACCACTTTCGATGACTCATGAGGTCGAAGAAACCTTCGACGGTAATAGACAGACCTGCGACATTGCCTATCACGTTCGGCTTCGAGAAGAACAATAATCGTTTCTATTCCCGTAATAAGCCCTTAACGCGCCTAAATGGGACAAACGTCGCTAGAAATCCTATCGACAGTTCATGCATCCTAACCATAAAAATTAAGAAAATGTCAAAATCCGTATCATCGTCCTAAGGGCGTGGAAAGAGACGCGAAGGGATCTTTCACTGGTTCGACCTTGAGGCCCGATCTCGCTCGGTCGGCGGTCGAATCGAAAATGCGGGTTATGCGGGCCGCGCGGAAGGAGCGGGACGCGGCTACGTCACGGCAGCTCGCGCGCGCATGCGCACGGCCCACCAGGGCATGCGGGCGATCTCGGGCGCGTAAATCGTCATTTCGAGTTTTCCCGCAAGCGCGAGCGGATCGACGCTGGGTCGCCTCGCGCCTCACACCTGCTCGGCGCGGTCCAACTTCGAACGCGGAGTGCCTCGACCTATGAAAAGGACCCTCTCGTGACACCTTTCCAAATCCAGACCACGAAGACGTGAATCATGTCGGTGATATACAGGAACTCCATGAAGACCATCGGCCAGTTCGTGCCAGAGAAACTGCAGCCTCTGTGGAAACATCCAGCTGGTAAGTCGACCGTTCGTCTGGACCGGCGCATGCGCACCTTCGGGACCCCCCTTGGCCCGCTCGATCGGTCTGCCCTCTGTGCAGCAGCGAAGGACAACCGTGTCAAGGACGCGGTCAGCGGACACTACCGGATCGAACGGGAGGAAGAGTGTCGCCCCGACACGTGTCGATCCAAACGCCCCGACGAGAAGAAATGCTGAGGCGCATGAAATTCAAAACGACGCGTTTCTGAAGTCTCAAGACGATATCGTGGTTATGGAGGTCCTAAAGAGAAACGCGATGCGCATAAAATTGTATTAAAAAAAAAATAATAATAATTTGTATATCCCAGCTGCGCTCTAATAGAGATTTCTCGTTGTAGGTCCGCAGACGATCTTCTTCTGGGCACCGGCGTTCAAGTGGGTCAGTATTATTTTCTGCGAAGAACGCTTTAACGACCGGCAAATAGGTGCGCATTTACTCGCCGATGGTAGTGAGCGCAGCGGTGGTTTCATTTACCTTCCAGTGTCAATGACTGATCGGAGAGGCATTGCCTCTCGTGGATGGGAATACAGGTGCTATTGTAATTGCGATATGACTGTACGGCCCGACAAAGGCACGCCTCTCGAATGGATTATCGTTCGCCGATACTAATTATCGCGCGATGCAAAGCACGTGCCGTGAGGTCGCTCTATAAGTGCACGGGGTGATAATGTTTCTAATAAGGTTGCACGATATCCGTATCGGCGATACGCATTCCTACCGGCGGGGACAAATTAAGTGGAATTTTCTATTTACATCGGAATACTTTTACTTTCCTTGGAAGTTAACGATTTCAAAGTCTGACATGCCCGACTCATTTATCAGAAGACCGCAGACGGTGATAGCCGACCTTGGAGGTGTCACAGAGCCATAGATAAGAGGCTGAGAGAACTTCTAAGCCGGATAATCTACTCGGTCCTGTTATCACCCCGCAAGTCATAAGGTCATTGTCGGTAATGGATGTTTCCACCGGTAAAGAAACGTCATTCCATCCCGGAGAAATCACCGGGGGCTGGTTCACGCATTTACCCGGATTATTCTCCGCGATGCGGTTCTGGATAATTATTCAAAATCGAGGAACAAGTCGTACGGGCAAATCTGCAAACTCGTTCCTGGGCGACGTTCATTTTCGGCAAATGCGGCTGCTGGCGAAATGCATAGGGAAAAAACATCGAGGAACGTTACGTAAATGCAGGATGACATTACGGTTTGTCGTTGAATACGATTGAGTATCTGTCGGCGTGTTGGACGTATATTCGCGCCATTCGCGACCCCGGCTGCGATTCGTTTAAACATTTCTAATGGCTACTTTTCAGGGACTCGTCCTAGCAGGCTTGGGCGATCTACAAAGGCCACCTAGTCAAATATCCATCAGCCAGTCGACTGCACTCGGGCTTACGGGAATCATCTGGACGAGATACTCCCTGGCCATTGTACCGAAGAACTGGAGCCTCTTCAGCGTGAATCTTTTCGTTGCCTGCACGGCGTTGTATCAAATCTCTAGAGCGATAAGGTAAACCTGGAATGGCGATATTTCTTAGACCTCGTTACCGGGCACCTCTACGTATAGAGAATTCATTCGAGTCGCGAGGAAGTGGAGTAATGCATCGCAATGAGCTTTGGCACGGCACAAAATTACGCGTCGGGGTTACGACGATGCTCGGCACTTCCCGTCCTCGGGACAATTTATATAGTTTACGAAATGAACGCCAGGACCGACGTCATTGCCCGCGATATTCTCTGTAGTTCACTGCCACGCAATGGTGGACGCAGCTCAACGAGTTACGCAATGCATGCGCAGATAAGATCGTCATTACAGTAATTATTTATGTTATAACGAATGTTGTTTTGTTTTTTTATATAGGTATCAACGTGAACAGGCAGCGAAGGAACTCGAGGCGGCGCCGGCGCAATAACCACACGTCCTGGGTGAAGACTAGAGACAATAGTAACATCATGTATTACCATCTCTCGTCCAGACTTATTGCACTGGTGTTATCGAATCCTTGGTGACGTTAGCAATTACTACATCCGTTATTCAAGAGTTCAATGCAAAGCGAACGCTGGCGCGTTACGAGAAAGAAGTAGGGAGGGAACTTTCAGTGGATCTGAAAGAGTCGTACAAATTGATCCGCGTATGGGGAATCCGCAAACTGTAAACGCGCACACTTGCGAATGAGATGTTATTTATTTTCTGTGTCTATTGAATAATTGACCGAACGGTCGATTGCTGTATATAATGTCTGAAGCGTAGCGGATTTAACTGGCAGACTGTGATACGCATTCAAGGCGCTGGAAACAAATTATATCGATATTATAACAAATTATATCGAGAGAGGTGGTATCCTTAGATCATCTTTGGTCACCGCGCAATGCGATCTCGATTAATCCCCTTAATCCGAGATTAACCATTGCTTGGTTTCGCCACCAACCGCGGAACGGGAATCACCCTCCTAGCAAATTCAAACCAAGCACCTGTCTCCGAAACAATGTACAATCGATTAAACCTGTACCAATGAATGCACAGAGGCGAGCACGAGTCTACGCGGTTCGTCGCACAACCGTTGAAATTGTTCCACAAGAATTGAAATAAAATGCCCTATTTTCAGTACCTCGTTTACAGGCAGGTTTAGCAATTTAATTTGATCCAATGCGGTGTAGAATTATCGAAAGCTACAACTCACGGCTCAAACTCTGCTTTCCTCGAGTGAAACCGAGAATTGTTATGGCCATTGTTTTTATTTTTCCCTATTATTCCCACGTTATTTTCTGTTGGACGAGTCGCCGATTCAAATGTCCCGCGCGCAGGTATCGACCTGGATCGGCGCAAGCGCGGGGGAGCGGCGGCCCGGATTGGTTCCCGGGCGCGCCGCTCGGGCAGCTGGCGCTGCCGGCGCTCGACGGTCGCTGCGCGACTGGCAGTGCGTAGTGACCCGCGCTCGGAGCATTCGGTCCGTGACAGTCCGTGAGCTGGGGTCGCGAGGACAAGTGGGCTCGTTCTCGTCGCCGCAGTCTCGCTTGGGGTCTCGCGACATCGGTGCGCAGGAGGAAGGCAGTCGTCTCCAGGGTCGAGCTCGCCCCTCGCCAAGATGTTCTCCGGCCTGACGAACCAGGTGTCCAACTGGATGGGGAAGAAGCCCGAGGACGGCGCCGAATTCCCCGCCGAGGAGAGGGCTGCGCCCGCCGGGGTCGAGGGCGACCCCGACCTCGAGAAGAAGGACTCGAGGTATTCCGAACGTCTCTATCCGGGCCCGACACAGCGGAGGTCCTAACCTCTCACGTGTCCATTCTCCTTGGTCTATCGATTCGCGTTTGCATACCGCGTTTAATATCTCGGTAAGCGCCTCCGAAGCCCCTGGCCCCTGCCAAGGCCGGCGAGGCGTATCAATCGATCGAGACACGACCCCCGGGGCCTTACCGGCGCCTGTTTTACCGACTGGCCCCGGGACGCCCCTCGATCGGTCCCAGCCTGAAACCCCCGCGTTCACGTGGTCGACGCCGACTCGGAAAAAAGACTCCTTTCCGAAAGATATTACATCTGACATTCGCATTCACCTCCTGCAACGTTGCCACGTTTAATATCTCTCGACTCCAAGCGTTATAACTGAATGCAGATACGTTTTATTACGCGCTAGGCGGTTCTTATCCGCGCTCAGATACGCGAGCTCATGCGCGAGTGCCGAATATCGACGCTGTGAGGGAATTTTTAAATTCACACCGCGGATAACTGCTGCTACTTTAAGATATCGTGGCGGATGTTAAATAACTATCTATTGTTCCTTTTCTCTCTCTTTTATTTTTTGCGATCGGGGGAAATTTCAACGCACACCGAGGACCCGTGCAGTGGACGCGCGGATGCTTCTAGAAGGATTTTGGTTATTTAGATGTCTTGCTATTTCTAGGGAATTTGGATAGGCATTTTTTTTCGTTTTTTTTCTGTACGCTTTGTATGGTTCGAAAATGCTGCCTTGCTCTATGCATGGGTCTTTGGTGGGCGGTATGAATAAATCCGACCTTTTTTTTTTGCTTTTTCTCTTTTCTTTTTCGAGGGTTTCAGGCGGGGACTCGTTTACGTGGAATGCAGCGTTTTAATCGCTCGCCTTGTGCTTCTCAATCCCCGCTCGTGCCAAGGACGACACTACGCGCTCTCCGGTCGCGGTCGATCGATTTTGACATCTCCTGAAAAGACCCGATTGGTACGGTCCTTGTCGCACTCGAGGGAACGACTCGTAGAACTCGAACTCGAATTGCGAGGTCGGTCGGTCAAGTCGAAAATTAGAGACATGCGGCAGACTCGCTGGAAATGCTTTAAAAAAAAAAAATGGCGAACACCTACGTCTGCGTATGTATATTTAAAATTAAAATCACCGCTAAGAGATATTAATCGCGGCGATTTTAATATTTCCTGCCAAAGAGGGATCTTTCCCTCCGATGTCGAATCGGTGCAGGGCTTCCGTTTTATTAAGTCGCTTGCAGCACTTTGATAGGGTGACATGTAATGCTACTTTACTTGCCGCACTTGTACTTGGGGTGCGACTCGACCTTAGGTAATCGGCGCATCGACGTAGCGAGTCGCACCTCAATTTTCCCCCCCTTATGCACATTACGTAAGAGTGAAATCCTCTTCTTTCGTTTGGCCACTTAGCCGAGGGTGTTTTCTCTTGCTCACCTAGAGGCCTGCACTCGGTGGCGATGAACCAGCACACGTATTTTCAGCACTTTAAATAGATCTTTTTTGGCAATTAGGGGGTGTGATAAGGGATTTACACGGTGTCCTTTTCATTTGCAGATCGGAGCATGCCCGCGCGCCATCTTTGAATTCGTATTTCGCTATGGCTAGGTGAATGAATGCCCTTACTTTGGTTACCCTGGGACTCACGTAGAGGAGCTATCTGCAAAATCCACGTTAATGGGTGCTGCTAAGTACCGACTGCAAGTCGCATGCTAAATGCTGCCGAGGCAAACGTCCGGGACGTGATCGGCTTCCCGATCGGCACCGTTTATGTCGGACCCCCTGCGAACCGGGAGAGCTTAATTCGGGACGAATGTTGCCGTCGTTTGCGCATTGAATTTACGACCCCCCCCCCCCCCCCTGGAAATTGAATAAGTTCCGCTGGAGCCGGGGAAACTCCGGGGCCGATTTCTTGGCCCGGAAGCCCCGGATCCTACTTTGGCCCCACCCTACCCCTGCTTAGAAATCTGCACTTGCAGTTGGCCACTCTTGGCGATACACCCTACCCTAGGATGTGCACGCTACACCCTGGGGAAGCCACGTTTAATGCGAGGGGTACCCTCCCTAGAATTACTCGGCTGCATTCCGGCTTATGCATGCGCGGCATTGCTTTCCGCGTTTTACCCCGACGGTGCGTTCCTACGGACTGTGGAAACCCTCCACGGGTTTACCGAATCCTGGAGGAGGACCAGCGACGTGTCGGTATTTTTCCTGATTTTTCTCTGTATTCTTTTGTCTTCTCTCTTTGCGGAAAGTGCAAGGGCGGTGGCGCCATGATTGCACGGTCAATCAAGGGTGCAAGACCAAGGCAGGTTAAAGTCAGTTAAAATCAATTAATGTCAGTTAAAGTATTGGTCCTTGGTCTTGCATTTGCTCGTCAATGATTTTGGTCAACCTATTTTATTTTATTTTATTTATGGCGGTCTGGTGACTTTTTGTTAAAGGACTTCCCCAAGGGTCTTTGTCCTCTGATCGCTCTCGCTGCACTCTGAGAAAAGTGCATCCTCCTCGGTTTCGACCGGGCTAACGACTCCGTTGCAGGCAAACCCCTCGCCAAGGGGCGATGCCAAAAAACCAGGGCGCAATTTTAATCGGCTTTCATCATTGCCCCGTAATCGAGTAAAGAGTAACCCGATCGCTACTCGGCAGTTTCGCGCCCGCAAAATGGATCTCGCGTTTCTATGAGGCGCTATCACTGGCCTCACCTGCAGTTATGCCCAGGAGTTGCACCTGCACCTAACTTACTCGTTTCCCTTATCGAGTTGATTCTTCGAAACGCGATGCATAGCCTGGAAATCCCCGATTTTTAGGATTCTACTCGGAGACCCGAAATTCGGAATTTTGAGACAGGGGGCGCACTTTCAATTTTTTTTTCTTTTTTTTTTGCGCATTTATTCCCGTATCCCAATTTTCGAATGAAAGACCTCTACATCGGTAACCACCTTCCTCAGGATCTACTCCAAATGAGAGGGACCGTCGCGATGAGTAAACGGGACGACGGAGGAGGATTCTGAAAACGTAATTTAAAAAATCTACCACACTCTTCCTCCCCTTCGCCGAGTGGCCGACTGTCTCTCCATGCCAGGGAGTAAAATCACCAGAAGTGATCCCCCAATTTTTATTCCTCCATCGCCGATCAAAGGGCTATCCCGACCAGCCACAACTCTAAATAAACTCGGTCCAACCGAAACATCGAACCCAAGACCCATAAAAAAGGGAATCTTCTCCAACGAGGCGTGGTCGTCCCCGTGTCCCATTAATATATTTCTCAGGATTTAATTCCACCCTTGACTTTATAATTTGAATTGTCCTCATAGTGGGAGGTTCAGAGGAGAGGTTACGGTTACGGGAAACGAAAGAGGAGGGTTGTCAAATTTTGGTTGACTCGGGGGGCGCCGTAAGAAATTCCCTGGGTTCCTGATTTCAGCCCTACTAAGGGAGGCAGCAAGCTGGAGATGCTCGCCGGGGTGAAGTCCCAGATGACGGGCTGGCTAAGTGGAGGGATCCCTGGATTGGGACGCGGAGGCGCTCCCGGGGAGGTCCAGGAAGGCGTAGTGCCCCCCGAGGCACCCGAGAGCCAGACGTCGCGGGAAAGCGTCCAGGGCTCCTCCCCCGATCACGTAAAAGACGATGACGCTAGCAGGTGGGTTGCGGGGTATGTGCGTGTTCGGTATTATCCGCTGATATATATCTAGGCCCATGTAGTGCAATTGCTATCGCCGGAAAGGGCGGTCTTGAACGTCGGCGTTAACGTTTCAGTGCGACCAGCGGTGCCGACAGCGGACCGGCCAGCCTAGGGGAAGGAACCCCCACGGAGGACAAGGACCAGCAGCCCTTCGGAGCAGGTGAGTCGGAAGGACCCCATCATTAATTTCTACCCACCATCCCTGACGTTGGACCAAGGAGCCGCCAGCCCCCAGGACTCGGGGCACTCGCGGTCGATATTTCAGGACCGACTCCGACGTCGGCGGTCGGAACGGACGATAAGGTGTTTATGAAATCTCTCAAGGAAGCGGAAGGATCCCTGGAGGGGCGTGATTTATTCGACCCAGGGAAGTGGAACGCCTCTGGAATTTTTCGCGTATCCTGAAGAACCTGCCACTAGGGCCGGTGAATGCCTGGTCTCGGCTTTTCCCCCTAGATGGGCGAGGTAATTCTTCAAAGCCGATCTGGCTGAATCGAAATGCCTGGATCGGCGCAGCTCGTTGTGGGCCACTTTCCGACTCCTTGGTGCCCCTTCGGGGAGGCTCGAGATCCTTCTTCAAGGATTATGAATGGACTCTGGAAGGTATTGGAGGATATACCGGGCTTTGGGGAGTCCTTGTTTTAGCTTCCTTTTAGGGGAACCGTAAAGTCCCCGGATCCTTTCATTAGTTTTCTTTCCTTTCAGTTCTCCTAGGTGTCCCTTCCACTTCGGGGTACGTTGCTCGTCCTTGAAGAGGACTCTTCCCGCTCCCTGGAGAGATCCTGTGGGGACTCCGGGATTTTAAGGAGTCATCCTCAAGATATGTCAAATCTCACCCTCAAGGCGACTCCTGGTTCTTTTCCTCGCCCCCGGCTCGTCGCTTTCTCGGAGTCGCCTTTGTATCGTTCACGCGTTCGTATCTGGACTTCATGTGCGGAGAGGCCGCACATAGGTACACGTTTCGAGTTCTTCTTCGCCCATTTCATGTCCCGTACAGCTCGGATACGGACGTCTCGTATTATATGGTTTCCTCGGGCCCGGCGACGTCTAAGGGACGTAAACGATTATATGGCGTCGTGCTTCTTGGACATCTGAGGCCAAGTTGGTTTTTTCGCTTTTTTTTTTTTTTTCATTTAGAATTTATTACGAGATATGCGACACGCGCTATTCCTCCGAAGGACGAAATGGCGAGGGGTATGCAACAGAATGCCAACCTTAAAAGCGCATCGCTTGAATTTCTGCATAAGACACAATCTCCATGTAAATGGAAACGCATCCGATGTTCGACGAGACTTGAAAGGTTTTACGCGATCTCGTTAACTTAACACATATGTGGTCTCCATTCCACTCGAAAAACCGCCTCGTATCCTACATTCCCCCTGTAAATCGGTTAACACCATTTTTTTATTTATACCATTTGCCACGAAAGGAAAGTCACCCCGATGCCGGAAAAACGTTCCTTTGAAAACGATAAGAGCCCTTTTCTCGCTCGTTAAGTCTGTTAACGGAGTCGCGAGTGCGAACGATCACGCGAACACGCGATCCTCAATCGCGCGAATGACGCGAGAATTGGAACGGTCGGGTAATTGAAAACGAAGGGACGATAACATCCCGTGTATTGTTCACACCCTCGTGAGAAGGGACCCCTTTACACCTAGGGGAAAAAAAATTGGAAATCGACGACACCAGTCAAGGAAAAATTGTCCCTAAATTCCAGAATCGCGAAAATGTTCAATTCAATTTTTGTAGCTAAACCGGCGATAGGAAGCGTTTTTTTTTTTTCGCGCTTTACCGTATGAGAAATTTTTATGTTTCGTCGGGGGATGAACATTTGGCCGATTTGGCCGATTCTATAGTAAAATCGGCGACGTCGTTAATCCTGGGATCGGGAGGAGCACTCTCTCTCGTTTCAAAGGGAGCCATAAAGCTTTGGGGTGATGGGCTCGTAAAGAGCGTCCCAAGACGAGGACTTAGCCGTCGCGATCCTTGGTCCACTGGCTGCCGTTAACCCCTTCGCCTAAGCAGATAACCACTCGGTAAATAGGTATGACCAGCCAGGCAGGCGGCATCCCTGGGACTCCCTCTGTCGTAAAGGATCCTCCTTATATGGTGCCAGTCGTCCTGGGGGTGTGGGATCCTTGGACCGCTGGCTGCGAATCTCTAACCCGATCCAGTCAGCCAGCGGCCGTCCTTCGCGTTGGGGGTTGGTCTATCTGCTCGATCAATACACAACTACCCCTCCGACTCCTCGAAAATCAACCGGCTACGTTCTTCTATACGCATGTCTTCTCTATGAGGACCGAGAAAAAGGCGTCGCGGTCCGTAAATCCTTTCGCGAGGGAATTTCACTCCTGATAGGATCCAGGTGATTCCCAAGTGATACCTAGTGATGATATCGATTTTATCGCGTGCGTTTTCGAGTTCGATGGGTTAAGATGGCTCCTGGGTGTGGTGGGACTCGAATTTTGACTAATTATCCTCCGGGGGGGGAGGATTTCGGAATTCTTTTTCCAGGGAATCTGACGTGGGGAAATTCTACACGAGGGTGGAACTTCTCGTTTTATTCCGGGAATTTAATTGCTGTAATTCCTGGGGGCGAGCCTTCCGCCTCCTAGGCTCGCTTCTCGTGATTAGGTCGAAGGGTGACACCCGGGGGATAGCTGGTGATATCGAGTTGAACGTGTCCGACTCGAAGTTTAGAGGGTCGTTCGAGTCCTCCGCTGACCCTCGGACATGGTAAATTGGACCTCCAGTACGATCTCGAATTTTCCCCCAATTATTCCTCGGGGGATGATTTCGGTACCAGGGTAGAATTTCTAGGGAATTCGGTACTGCGAAATCCCCCAACCAAGGTGATATTTTTCATACCAGTATTCCGGAGAATTTCCCCGGTGTAACGTGGTCGGGGTGTAAAATTCAAGTTATGGGGAAGGGCCGGTGGACCCGAGAAGGTGAATCCCCCAGGATATCGATCCCTCGGAGGGTGACTCCCCCAGGAGCGACTACTTTTAACTTTCTATTAAATAACGAAATCGTTTACTCGGTGAGGTTTAGTGCCGCCTCGGAGACAATGGGAACGGTAACGACGCCCTCTTTCTGGATTCGCAATAACGCCGACACACCCCCTGGCTTGATGGGGTTTTAAACCGATTTTAGTCTGCTTTTGACTCTCCAAGATTTACGCCGACGCTGGATGAATCTCCCCATTTACCTGATCGAGCTCAATCCCTGATTGAAAATGCCTTCCTGGTCCTGGGATTTTTTTTTTTTTAATTTTCACATGAAGGGGTCGGAAGTCAAAGGAGGACCGCCGAGTTATCGGACGTCCTTCTACTTGGAATAGTTTCACCAGGTGATATCGGTCAGCTGGGGTAACATTGAAAAAGCCAATGTAGATTGCCGTGCCTCTTCTCTCCTCGCCCGTAATTGACACGAGGTCGAATGAGCTCCATCGATTCGGTTCGACTAAACGCCCCAGAGAATCAATGGGTTATTAGGTATCCTTCAATTTCAGGTAATTCCGATCTGGTTTGATTTCAATTCCGCGATGTTTCCTACGGTCTCGATAACTCTATGCAATTTCGATGCCCCCCTCCCTGCCAATTTTAATACCTCTTCCGTAGGTCGAGATGGATTCGCATTTACACCGAAGCTCTTTTTACACCCCGCGGAATTAACGGAACCTCTGGGAAGCCTCTTCGGCGAAACTTCTTCCCGCCTCTCGGTGGGAACTCGAAAACTCTTCCTCTCGCCGCCGACCTGAGTGCACTTCCGCCTTTTCCGGAGGATAAGTTTGAACCGCGACTCGATATCGAATGTCTCCCTTTATCATCTCGATCCTTCCGCCCCTGGAAATCGGAAAAAGACATGAGCGTTTCATCTCTAAGGACCCTCCACCTTGCCTAGATTTTCGAGAAACAATTTTTTAATGATCCGGCATGCCCAAAGACAATGGAGCCGCGACTCGATATCGAATGTCTTCCTTTATCATCTCGATCCTTCCGCCCCTGGAAATCGGAAAAAGACATGAGCGTTTCATCTCTAAGGACCCTCCACCTTGCCTAGATTTTCGAGAAACAATTTTTTAATGATTCGGCATGCCCAAGGACAATGCAGCCGCCATGTTTGCGATCCCCTGGATTCCTGAACCTGCCCTTTATGGCGTGCAAACCTATTTATCGACCCGCGTTTACGTTTAATCAGCCTGCAGAAAAAAGTAGTACACATTGTGCTGGCCGGCTTAACTTTTCATAAATCCGGCGTACCTCCGGTTTTCCTTTTGTCGAGCACGCTAATGCGATGACAAGATAGGAGAGCCCGACGTTGACTGAGCGTCGTAATGCCTATTATTAAATATTACGTCCTCCTGTTCCTCTTTCAGTTTGCCGTGCCTTTTCCAGGGTTTATCTCCGGCATCTTGAAAGGACATAGCTCGGTAGTACTCGGAAAATCGGGTAATCTCTGCCGTATTTTCGAGTACATCCCGGCGCTCCGAGGGAAACTGGATTATTGAGAGCCATCGAAAACTTCCGCACGGCGGAGGTCCACCGAGCTGATAGAATCTCCACCTGGGGAAAGTTGAATCCCGCTGCGATTTCGTTCCGTAGGAAACGTGGCGGAACTTCCGGCCGCGTCCCGAGAGGACGCGCTCCGTCATCCTGTCAGGATTCGTATCTGCCCGTCTCCTCGCACGTGGATTTACCTCGGAATTTCCTCCCAGGACCTGGAGGACCTTTTCCCCCAGGGGTCCGGACTCTTCTTCAGGATGTCTAATTGCCCGTGAACGATCCTTTAGATCCCGCTCGAGATTCCTGTTAATCGATGTCGTTTCTTCCCTGAGGTTTTCCCGTCTCTATCGAGATGTATTCAGAGCGATGGCTGCTCTTTTAAGGGCCATAAAAAGCCGACCTTTGATTGGATTATGAATCACTGAAATTATTGGATATCTCTGATAACGCTTAAGTGCTCGAATCTATCCCTATCAACGTTAGTTGGATATTGGTAGGTCGTGGAGGTTTTGTGTTGGACCGTTTAAAAATTAATTAGCCCGTCTTCAACCCGTAATCGGTAACGTGGGTAATTATTTTCGATGCGGTCTTCGGTGCATTCATTAGAAACACCTTCGCTGATTGGATGCTGGATGCAAAACGGGTGTTTCGATGCCCGGCTATTCTGTCGGATATCGATTACTCTCGTTTGAAAATGTCGATATCGGGGCTAAAGGTGGACCTATCAGTTTCTGAGCCTGAAGGGTTTCCGTCGACTCATCGTACAGGGGTTCAGGGAGCGAATTTTACTCCCTTAATGTACTCCCCGAAGTTAAGGGGATGTGAAAGTGACATACGAGGGGTCAATCGTTCGTGACACCTTTCTTCCAACTGGGTGTACCTAACCGTTGTCAAACTTTACAACGCAAATACAGAGGCTGCAAGGAATGTCCCAACACTCGTGAAATTTCATTTTTTTTAATTTTCTTCTCTGTAAAGAGTAAAGAAAATAATTGCTTTAAATTGAAATCTCATTCAAGACCTTCCTTACAGCCTCGATATTCACGTTGCAAGGTTTGATACGTCTCGGAACCCTTAGTGCGGAGAGAAAAGTATCGTAAAGGAAATCTCTTTGACTGAACTTTTGCATCGCCTTAATCATGATACTGAGGAGTATAAGGACTTCCGTGTCCTGGCCTTTGGAGGCGTCGCTGGCGCCTGGGAAAAATCCAACCAGCGTCCCTGCTTCCAGAACAATGTTCTTCTCGAAAGGTGCACTATTTAATTAACAGTAAGTACTCGTTAACGTATCGGTGTTAATTGCGCCTCTTATCTGCTTTCTGCCCGTACAGTCTCGACGAAGGCGCTGGCAGGAGCGAAGAGCCTTGGCGGATTTTTGTACAGTGCCGTGAATAAAGCTGGGAAAACGGTCGTCGAGGCCAGCGTGAAAATCAAGAAGACCGTCGAGGAGAACGTGAGTGTGCTTTTCATGATTTTTAAGCTCTTTACGGCTCATTCACCGTATGCGGCGCGCCCTCGGCATTTTCCCCTAAACGGTCCACCCCGGTGGGTGGCAGTTTCCTGTTGCTGGTCTTCTGAAAGCCAGCAACGAAGGCCCGAACGCGAAAGGGACTTCAGCGAATCAACAGGAAAATAAAAGGTCGAAGAGAATGCTGCGCTCTCTTTCCCGGCTCCTCGAGTTTACTCCTCTAATGTAACGAGATAACGAGAATATTTCCCGGCGTGGTCTCGCTCTGAAATGCCTTTACTTGCGAAATTCTGGAAAACATTCTTCGAGTTGATCTTACCTCGGGGCGAATTCTTACGCGGTGTTTCGCACAGAAATTTCTCCGCATTGCTAGGGAAAAAGGAAGGAACGAGGAGGAACGCTTTGGATAGTTTAAATTGAATATCTCTGTATCTTTGGGGGAGGTTAGCGTTCTCAGGGGAGCGATTGTTCGGACATTTCAAAGGGTTCCTGGTGATCTGTTATCACCCTCTCTCGCCTTGTCAAAGTGGTGTACTCGGTGGACCGTGCGAATTTGGTACACATATTATCCGTGCGTCCCTTCTGTCGAATTGAACCATTTATACGGATCTGGGTTTACACCCAGAGCCGCCTCCTCCGTCCCCGTTATTCCCGATTCCTCGCCCTAATCCTGGCGAACAACCAGACAACTCGAACATCCCCACCTCGGATCCGTGGGAACTTCTCGAGGACGTATTACTCGTCATACTCAAACGAGACGTCTCGTTGAAGTTCTCTCTCATAGCTTTTCGCAGGTGGAATAATAAAACGGGCCGAGCTGAACGCGTCTCCCCGAGGGACATAACCTCTCTTTACGAGTTCCCCAGGACTCGTAACGTATACGAACGGGCTTTTCTGTAAATTTGACAAGCCATTCGCGAAACTACGGGGGCATGTAACATAATGCATGCCGAAATGGGAAATTGAAATTAAAAGGGAACACGAAATATCCTGCAATATATGGCCCCCTGGACCCAGAGATGCTGCAGAGAGCAGGTCCGATCGCACGCCGGCCATTATCACTAGCGTCAGCCAACAAGTGGAAAGAACGAGCTAACCAACGTCCGGCGCGGCCGGCGAAGTAGTAACATGCCCAGCACGATCAGACATTACGGGACGGGGGCACGATCCTGCATTTATTCCCCAGCCTGGGAATAAATCGTCCCCTGAGGAAGTTCAATGATTCAAGCCTCTAACTGATAGACGCGGCGGATTTTGAAGAGCACCGAATAAATGGGGAAAAAAATCATCGAAGAACCATCAGGAAAAATGGAATGACCTAGAGCGGTGGAAGGAGTAACCGGTAGCTTAGTGATTCAAGCCAGGAGACGTAATAAGAAGTAACGTTCCCCTGGATTAAGAAACAGGGTGGACCATCCTCTGGGATACGGAGCAGAGTGGCTGTATGTCTGACTATACATCCACCATCATCACTAGTGTCGACTAACAAATGGAATGAACGAGCGAAATAGTAAAGCTGGGATGGTCAGAAGTTACCAGGCAAAAGTATAGGCACGGGTTGAGAAAACCCACGCGGAAAAACGCGGATTAGGGAACCCTGGATTGAGAAAAAAAAAAATAGATCATTTTTCTCATAGAACGCAATTATAAACGACAGCTCGTCTGACTGCACATTGACTAACGAGAGAAACAAACCGTGTAAACGAAGTAGAAACGTGCACAAAAGGGTCAGAGGTTGCCGGGCGAGGGTGCGGAGTGCGTGAACGCACCGGAGCGATGCATCACCCGGTGCATCGAGGTGCGTGAGGAAACGCACGCACGTGCAGGGGGTGCACGCGGCCGCGTTACACGGCCTACCATCCGCACGTACAACCGCGAGACTACGGCCAGTTGGTATTGATCCAAAGCCACCCCCTCGCACGGACGCACCCACGACTGGCGTCGGGACGCCGGGACACGGGGTTGACCCGTGCAAGGGGTGGCCGTGATATCGCCGACGTGCCCATATCGCGGGTGCATCTTCGTGCACCGCCTCCGGTAATTAATCGATGCCGAGGACCTTGAACTTTCTCGCACCTTGCATACAAGGCGAGAAGGTGCACGCGGACGTCCAGGCGATGGGAGTCATTGATGCGTACCTTGGGACATCTTGCATGCAAAAATGTCCCACTAATCCGGGAGCGGACGGTTGTAGTTGGATCTGTGAATTACCAACTCCCAGAAAGCTCCCGCAACGCATTTCTAGGGTGCGTTGAGTCGCAGCATCCCGCAAGTGTCCGGAGATCGATCCGGAGGAGCCTTGAACGCCGCCCTTACGCGTGCACCCGACGTCCACGTGGAGGCAAATTGGATTTCTTGGATACCCTCTCATCGAGTGCCATACACTGCACGTAGGGGCACGACCAGGAGTTAGATAGGTGTCGAGAGGATCTTCCTTGCTCCGTGGGATTACAGCCCTGGAAAAATTCCACTCGCACCTGGCGGAGATTTTACTGCGCGTCCGAGGCGCGTAAACCGTGGAAATGAAAAATTCCCTCGGACGCGCCGAGGAGTGTTTTGAAGCCTGGCCGCGGATTTCTTCGTTTTTCATTCCGCGGTGGTGTCTCTGGCCTTTCCGTGGATCCCGGAAACCCCTCCACTCATTTTTGTCGGCCTGCGTTTGACTCATGTGCCCGTGAGAGGGGCTCGTTAGCCATTCGTCTCGACGCCGTGGAAGTGGGCGCCCTGCACGAGGTGTTTTACTTTACTGCTCCCATATCGTGCACCCGGGTGTCAACGGTTAACGAAACGTGGACGGACCGCCGCCGACTGGGCAATCGTGCGAGCATCTTTATGCATCGGAGACCCCGCAATGCGCACCCCGTTATCACGGTGATAAATCCTGGCCGCAACCTCCGCTCGGCATTGTCTCGAGTCGCCGTCATAGACACGCGAATGCACTTTGGTTCACGAAGACTCGATGGTACCCCCGTATCTTCGGCAGGAAATGGCCCCTGTTAGCGACGTCGACGCCTCGACGCGGGTATGACAACCTGTACACGCTCTGAATTAGCATGACACAATATGTCGCGTGGACTGATACCTTAAGGGCGTCACAGAACATGGCCGACCAGTCCGAGGGGACTCTCCGATGCCGATAACGACAGACATGCCCAACAAACCGCACCATTTACCATTTACCACGCATCTACGCAACAATTGATAAGACCTGATACAAGGAAAGTACAGAAGTTCTGCGTTCAAGCAGCAATTATCCCATTCAATCGGCATGTTCAATGAGAGCAACTTCGAGATCTACCCCAGGTGTTTTAATTGCGGGCTGTACCTGGCATGCAGGGAGCGAATGCATTACCCCATTGAGCATTATGCAGGAGCATTGCGGTGATTAATTGGTGCACTCCTCGAGCCTTGAACTTCCTTGTACCGAGTCTTCGCCTTCATCTGAGATGGGGGACTGGAACACAATTGATTTCACGGCCTCGTATCTTCGGGCGGCCTTAGACCGCGTGTCTGTAGACGCATTACGGGGACGGTATATCTTCCAGCATATGTATCGCACGTAGACCGGGTACACGTTGACTCGATACGTATATACATTGCCCTCTGGGCGTTGCAGCGTGACAAAACAGAGCGTTGCGGTAAGGGAAGGCGTCGCGACGCCGATGCTCGCCGACATGCCGATAACATGGCGTCTACACGCATTGGCGACCGCACACCGAACCACCGCAAACCTTGCAGTAATTAATTCACGCACAGGACCTCGAACTAAACATCCCTCTGTCCCATCTCCGTAATCGCGATAAAGTTCCACTTGACGCGAAAAATGTTATTCAGGAATTTTCTGAAAATCCAATTTTATGTCACGTTGTATTATATTAAGTGGCCGTAAATATTGTGGCTAGAAATATTTTCATTGTAGTTTTTTTTTTATTCTTGAAGTTTCATTATATTTTTTTATTCGGTTTTTTTTTATTCAGATGACTCGATTAGAGTCGCTTCAATTTGGAAGATCCGCACCAACGGACGATCGTTCCTCCAATTAAGATCATCTCTTCGCACTGTGTACCCTTCATACATGGCCCCAGGCCGGAAGGCTCGTTTCACCTGCGATATCGTGTGCTTTATGGTCAGTTTTGGACCTTTATGCACTCGTTTCGAGCCCGTTTATACGCATCTCGCTTTCACGTCGATAAACCCCCGCGGAGTACATATCGCTTTGCACCGCCGATCTGTAACTAGACCAGCAGAATTCTTTTTTTTTTCCCTACATTTTCATGTTTTCTCCCTTTCACTGGTTTTTACTGCCGAGTGCCTAAAAATGGTCGCCACGTTTTTTATCTTTCGGGAGATGCGCTGCGAAAACATTTTCATTGGCCCTGAGAAATATTTCTTTGAACAGTACCCAAGAAGTACTTTAATAATTCGAGGAATATTGACTTCGATAAACTGGAATAAATTGCATGCAATGTTTTTTCGGAATTGTGACTATTTATTAGAGATTATTCCAAGCAAATAATTATTATTCGAATGAATGGAATTTTTCTTTGGTTCAATGCATTCTTTTTTTTTTTCACGGGGTAACGAGATAATCGATGTTATGTAACGTGTACAAGGTGGTTTGGAGACTTCATATCTATGTTTACACTGTGTTCCCTAGTCGCCATTAGACCCGTGTGATGGTTCTTATCGATCCTGATAATCGGTATTCCTTTTCATCGCGAGCTACCCCTTTTTTATCAATTCCGCCCCATGAGCGTGTCATCCCCTCGTAACGGAATACACGCGTTGATTGTGCGATTCATGACTCTCCGCGATCCCTTTTCCGGTCGATACTAATTTCTCGTTGGTCCGGAAAAACGGATTAAACGGATGGCCACCCAGTGGCATTTTTCACATCCCTAAGGTTTACGAGCAACAATTTCCCGCTAACCTCGGCTACGGTTTCCAAGGGATTACGAGCGCGAGTCATACGCGTGGAGAGCTTT